GGGAATTCTGATCCTGACATGGTACGTTTTCTTAGCAGCTCAATTTGCTCAGGGAAATGGGACGGGATGCCCAAGAGCACTCTCGGACATTATGGGGAGGTTGTAATGCCTGGAAGAAGAATGTTTGCAGCAAAGTTGCAGGTGTCCTAAGCTAACCCCACAAAAGGACATGCTACAGCCCACAAGCTAACATTAGAACAATGACTAAGGCTAATTTAAAAGTGATTTTATCTCATTCTCCTTCCCTCTGCCGTTCCCTATCCTAGATTATGCTCTACGGTGACTTTCCCTGCCCAAGGTGTCATCATTCTAGTTCTCTATCACATACAGAAGCTCTGAGGTTTCTTTCTCAGAAGCCGTATATCTGTACCAGCCGGGGGCCAGTGTGGAGATGGCCTGGCTCTGCACAAATCCTCCCAGGCCTGTCCACCCTATGTGCAGAGGGAAAAGAGGGGTGGAGTGCTGGTTAGACTTGAGAGAGGGTTGGACGTTATCTGAGATGTTGAACTCATCTGCGCAGGTGGTTTTGTGAGGCACAGCCTTCTGGACTTAGAATCATGGAATGGCAAAGTTACAACAGAATCTTGAAATTCTTTTACACAGATCCTCCTTATACAGAGGAGAAAACTCAAAGCAGGGCAGCTCATTCATGCCTACTCAGACCATGCCGAGGCCTCCAGAGCCCTAGTTCGCTATTCTACTCGCTGCAGAGTATAGGATCAGAGTCATAGCGAGACCCTGATTGAATCCGGTTTGAATGCCATTCTCTTTCCTGGTCTTCCTGACCATTCTAAGTTGTGGCTTAGTTCACTCCTCTGCTTAACAAACTGTGGGTGACTTTCCATTAGCTCTGAACTCCTTAAACTGGTATTCACAGTGTTCAAAGTTGACACCAATCTGCATTTTTAGCCTTTGTCCTCAGCTATTTTTCTCCACTTCCTCCCCGCTGCCGCTTAACAAGACCTCCTGTGGGTCTGCAAACATGCATTGCCCTTCTGTTCCCTGTGCACACTGCTCTCTTCATCTGGAGTTGCCTCTCCCACGTTTTCCCATTTTATTCGTTTCCACCCGCTTTTGCCCAGCCAAGTTCCACCCTCTCACTCAGCACTGCCGTTACTTCTTAGGGTACTTGTTCTTAGCCACGTATTACGTTTCCTATTAGATTGAAAGCTGCTTGAGAGTAGGGACCATATAGCACGATTTGCTGAATGTGGCAAATACAGTGTGCCCCAAAAGTACTTACTGTCTGTAAGAATAAATAACACGCTGGTTTCCTCGTGTTCCAGGCAGTTCCACGATTCTGGGAGGTGCTGGGGGTGTGAGGTTTGAGGAGGGGAAGAAGGGATGTACTGAAAGTCAGGACAGCTTTACCTTTCCAGAGGTCTCAGCCCCACAGTGTGATGCTGGCTTCGGTGCTCCTGCCACTTGTGGTGTCTTGAGATGACTGTGTAGGATCCTGTGGGCACTTGTTTTATTCAGTACATTGTGGCCAGGTTTCTTCTGAGCCTCACTGACAACCCTCAGCTGGCCTTGAACTGCAGTAACTATTTTATCACCTCCCAAATTTGCTTCTTGTGAGTCTCAGGGCAGGCTCGCTTTGGTAAATCAACTTCTGAGCATGTCCTCTCCTTGAGCTATTCCGCCAACGTCCAGGACAGCATGATTACACTGATGTTCCACGCTCTGATCTCGGACCCACTGGTGAAGAAATTCACCAGACGTTAACTGTGCCCCGTGTGGTTGTTTTATTGCTTGACCCAGGCCAGGTATAGTATAAGTAAATAAGTTCCTGGTTTAGCATTTTAGCACTTCTATGGCAGATTTTGGCAGGAGCCAAGGAAGGAGCTATCAGTTGGTAATTATCTTGAAACTGAAAGATGACATGCACCCTTGACAGGCATGGCGCCCTCTTCCTTCACCCTTTGCCCTCCATGGCAAGCCTGGTCAGGGCAGAATCATGCTCTCACATCCACAGGGATGGGCAGGAGTAACCCAAGGAGAGTTCAGAGGGCTGGCCTGGAAGCCAAGGCCAGAGACTGTGCTCTCAGCCCACCTCCGCATGGGGCTTTGTCAGACCCCCACTGCACCCTGTTCCTGCCTTGGTGCTACCACGCCTAGGTCACTGGAGCAGAACACCTTCCCCTTCATGGAAAGTCCTGGACTGCTAATGCATATGGTGCTTCTGTCTGAGCTGATGAAATGTTCTAGAATTAGGCAGTGGTGGTGGTTGCACAACTTTATTGGATTATATACTTTGAAAGGGTGAATTTTGTGGTTTGTGAATGATATCCCAGTTTTAAAAGAAATCATGGCATACTAAGATCTTGCACTAAAAGTCAAAATTTTGCAACATAAAAGTCCTGAAAGACCACATGGGTTTTCCACTCAAGTGCTTCCTGTCTCCACACATGTTCTGAGGTCACGTGATCTGGTGCATGTGTGGGGGTGGAGGGGATCTAATAGTTCATCTGTCTCAGTCTCAGTTCTGTGTCAGCCTGGGATGACCTTGGTCTAGGTATTTCCTTGCTTTTGCTTCCAAAGTCAGAACAGAGGTAAGGAGCCTGACCTACTTGATAAGGATCTCCTGGGAAACAGAAATCTGGTTTGCTAAATGCTTTAGAGGTGTGAGGTGCAAGATCTTCTGAGTAGTTTGAGTAGTTACAGGAAGGACGGAGCAATGCCCAGGTGTGTTGGGAGTAAATCCCGGGCTAGGGTGGAGCCGGTGTGGGCGGGAGGCTAGACCTGTGCTGCTCCAGGTGATTTGATTATGCCATTAGGTGCTCCATTGGGAGCTGTGATGGCTCGTGATTTCTGTACCTGTGGTGAGGAGACACTTGGTTTCTGCTGCAGTGACTCGGGGAGGAGGGGGTGCTTCCAAGGCTTGGATGTGGAGGCGCGGGAGCGGCTGGAAGGGTCCGTGCCCAGGTGGGGAGTGGGGCTTGTGCTTGCTGGGCCTCCTCTGGAGAGCTGCCAGCCGCTGCTGCTGCCCCCCACACGTCGGCAGAGAAACGCCTGGAGGCTTCTCCTCACCTGGAAATCCGGAAGCGGCCTTAGCGGAAAGACGGCTCCTTCTCACCAGGAAGCCTGTGTCGTTGCCTCACTTAACAAACGGGGCTGCGCCTACAGAAAACAGGGGAGCTTCCGTCCTCATCCCCTCTGCCTGCTGCAGCTTCCTGGGTGCTGGCGCCAGCCATGCCCCAGATCACGGACAGCCTAGCCACCCCGCGTTGACTGAGTGCCCTCGGTGACAAGGGAGAGGCCCCAAGGATGAAGGAGAGCCATGATCACGACGTCTTTGCAGCCCCCTCCCCGTCCCTTCTGGTCTGTGGGACGTAGGACAAGGTAGGGACTCATATCAGTGTCTTTCGGGACAGGTTGAGAACCTGCGGCTCATACAAAGCCCTCTCGCAGACCCACCCTGTGAGGACCAGCGACTGGCTTCCCCCTCCTCCTCCTCCTGATTCCCCTGTCAGTGCCTGAGCATCCCCCACCTGCTTGTCTTTCTGTTGAAAGGAAGTCCGCTTACCCTTCAGGCACAGCACCGGTACCACCTGCTCTGAGAAGGCTGCTTCCCTCCCCTCTTCCACCTTTACCCAGGCAAGATCACTCAGTCCTTCTTCTGCGCGCCCACAAAACTTTGTTCTGCCCCTGGTGGCACACACTGCCATGTCCACTCAAGGTGGACTGCTTTGGAGAAACGCTGATGGGCCTCCTTTGGGTTAGTATCTGCATTACATGCCCAGTGTATGTCTGTTGAATAAATGAATGACTGAATCAATCAATAACATCATTTGTGCCCTCCCACAAATACTGGAAGATATTTATAAACTCCATAAATACTTAAAATTGCTTTCCTGTTTATGATTGTGGTACTTGATGAGAATACATTCTAAAAGTGTCTTATTAAATCTTTTTTATGTCTGTGGAATTTTGTTTTTGGTCAAAGGTGATAAATTTGGGGAGAAGAAGCCATGCTATTAAAAAAATGAGATTTTATAAAGCAATGGTTTGCTAAAGTGTGTTCAGCAGAATCCTAGTTCCCTAGTGTGGGGCTAGTTGTTAAGGAATAAATGGCCTAGGGCCAAATGAAGTTTGGGAGAGGCTGTGGTTAATCAGGTTACTCTACTGTGGGGTGTCTCAAAGCTTTGATATGATATTGCTTAGGAGTATGAGAGAGGGGGCATATGCAAAGTGTACTTCTGCAACACTAGCTTAGCACCTACCACAGTGCAAAAGGCAAAGCAGGTTTGGCATTTTGCTATGAATTCATTGATGATAATCCAGTCCCTTGAATTAGGTCCCTGAGAAGCAGGTGAGGGCGTCTGTGATAAGGGCCCACTTCTTCCCCACCCTCTGCACATACACCACCCCTGCTCTGCAGAAACGAAGAGAAAAATGAAAGGGAATTAAAACATTACTTTACCTGTCACAGCAAGTTATCCAGCATCTCCAGTGGACTATGCAGCAAATGATTGTGGTTTTAGAAATAACCTGTCGGCCCCAGTGGCTCTACGGTAACCTCCCAGGACTATTCCATAAACACCAGTTCTCTGCGCAGTAATTACCAACTCTCTCCTTGGTAAATTTACTAGTGTGTCTAGGAGTAATTGCTGGAGAACTCACACTTTCAAATTTACAAGAGGCAAACAGCCTTGTATTTACTCAGGGGGTTATCAGGTATTCAAACTGAGCTGTGTAAAAAGTGCGACTGATCATAGAAATAAGGGAGAGAGCCTGAATTTTCACCTTGGAGTTTTTCTCAATGGGCGAGAACCTGGCTGAGTAGATTTATGGTGGGGGTCTATGGAGGATACTTTTCTTCTCCTCAAGGTCTCTTCCCTTCCTTGAGGTTTGGAGCAATAGTAAAGTCGGACTTTATATACAGTTGGAACCCATTGTTGCCTTCAGACAAAAATGGCTGGTTGGTACCAGTGGCTGGGAAGCTGTAAAACTTGGTCCAGTCCAAATTCTTACCTGTGCCCATGGTGTTTATCCTCTAGAGATCTCAGGGAACACAGAGGACATCCCTCTGGTGCGCTGGAGGCAGCAGTGGCTGGAGAACGGCACTTTGCTTTTTCACATCCATCACCAAGATGGTGCCCCGAGCCTCCCTGGGCAAGACCCGACTGAGGAGCCCCAGCATGAGTCCGCAGAAGAGGAGCTGAGGATCCTCCACATCTCCGTCATGGTAAGAGCAGCACAGCCTTAGCCTCTGCCATGGCTTGTGTTACCTTGACACTGAGTCTTGGTGCCATAGACGTAGCTTTACATCGTGATACCCAAGTCTACAATGACCACTGAGCATGTTAATAAGCACACTTCTTGTTTGTGCGGAATGCATCCACTTGTGGTATAAGTTGCAGCTGTTTCCATAATACCATTCCCCAACTGTTCTCTCTAGAAAGATGCTCAGATACGGAGTAACTTTTACAGATCAGAGATAATATTAGTATATCTGAATATCATAAAGCATTAAATAGTTGTGCCATAAATATTTGTTGAATAACTGAATCTCCAAGCTGCTTGCTTCTACCAAGCCCTCTTTCCTCTTCTCCCAGCCAGGAGGAGGGTAGCAACCTGGGTTTCTCTCCTCTTACAATAAAGGCCATGTCCATAGATACCTGCTGCTCTCTCTAGCTCAGCTCAGAAACTTCCCCATCAGCCTTTCTTCTATTTAAAATTTTGAAGCCTAAGACAATGAAAAGATTCTTTGTAAAATTCCAGGAACTTGTGTTCTAGAATCTCACTAGAAAGTAAGTGCTACAACGGCAGGCAGGGTTTTTGTTTGGTGCTGCTGTATTCATATATGTATCACCAGTTGATACTTAATATTTGTGAAATAAGTCAATGAATTTCCCAGTGGAGAGAGAAAATACCTGTTTCATTTAATATTTTATGTATCAATATTGTATTGACAAACCAACACATTATCTGCTCATAGGGTAGCATGGCAGCAGGCTGGAACTTGACTGATATCCATGGGCATATGCATGTCAGGGCATGTGCTATTTCACTGTTAGGAAACTCAACACAGAGCACAGAACCAGCCCAGGTCTTAGTCTAAACCTTAATTCATCTGTTGGTCTGGTACTATCACTAGATGCTGTTTCGTTTTGTACATGAGACTGAGAGAAACTGAGTACATTTCAGATATATAAAAATGTACATTATCCAAAAATTTGAGATGGAAAATCTCCCCATAAAATCTCTGATAAAAATCTCAGAATGTAATTCTTTCATTTCTTCCTCAGCCACTGTCCCCATAAATAACTGGCTCAATAGGTTACTTCCATGTACACAATACACTTCGTTTAAACTATATGGTAGAGAGAAGAATCTTTGAATAGCAAACGTAAACTTCAATATCCAGATAAAGCCAGAGGCAGGAGAATAAATGAGATTGCTCTGCCTCACATTGACAAATTAATTGAGGTTTATAGCATAGGAATTATAGGACTTGTATATTCTTAATCAAAGACCAATGTTTCCTCTCTCATGAAAGGTTTTCTTCTTTAATGTAGCTTGTAGTTTCCAGAGAGTGGCAAGATTAGGTAAGTCAGCCAGATCAGCCCTGGCATTGACTAGGGTGACAAATGTAGAGGCCAGATTGTCCTCACATTTGTAATATGGTCTTATTAAAAAAAGGGATGATTTCCTACCAGCCATTCCCATCTTGCCATCAATGTGGGAAGCAATTGTGGTTATGTGTGGTTTTTGTTTGGTTTGGATTTCATTTTTTTTTTTTTGGTCCAAGACCATTTCAAAGAACCATTCTTTGTCACAACAATGGAATGTTTAAGGCAAAGAAGGACCTAGAGATCTCCAAAGATGAATACTGGGTACGACTGTGTCTGAAAGACGGTCCCTAAATACAAGAAGTTAAAACAGGTGATATGTCAGAAGACGAGTTTAGTGGGGTGTCTGGGAGCATAGTCTGAGGATCTGCAGAAAGACAAGTAGTGTAAAGCTTGTCCTAGTTGTTGCTTCATATCTTCAGTGGAAGAAGGACCCTACCATCGACCCTCAGAATGAAGTGCTCTGATGAGTTCTCTAGAGAAGTGTGTGTGTGTGTGTGTGTGTGTAGGTGTAGGTGAGTGGATTTGAAGATAGAATTATGCTGATCAAAAATGTCAAAGGATTTTAGGAAATAGGCTGTACCTTTAAAATAAAACAACCCCTTTGAGAAGTCCGTCATCACTGATGCTTTTGTAAGGGATCCCTGGGCAGGGATTGATGGACAGTGGACACTGACATGGAGAGAGCACAGGAGTCAGCCTTAACCCTGTCTCTGAGATCTGTCTTTCATATGCCACTGGCCACCATGGCAGACTGCAGTGACATTCTAGTTTCCAAGTAAAATAGAAGAGATTATTCCTTCAGCTTTATTTGAGTTTCTTCTAACTTATTTTCAGCCAGGCTGGAGGAGACAGAGGTTAAAAGGGCATCGGCAAAGGGCGAGGGTGGGAAAGTCTTATGCTGTCCCTGGCTTGGCCCCTTGGAAGGCGACAGGCCCACGTCTCCATGAATGATGTAGAAAGTCCTTGACTTCTGCAGGACAGGGATCTCAGGGTGCACTGCAGATGTAAGCGTTCCCTCTCAGCCTCGTCACAGACGGTGTGGTCAGTGGAGCCGAATGCAGCCCACCTGGCCATCCCACCTTGCCCCCATTCCCATGCTACACACGTACGCCACACGCTGCCTCCTTATCCTTAGGACTCTATTCTAGAAGCAGTTTCAAAGTCCGAAGTTGTGTATCTGCCCTCAGCTTAGAAATCAAGCCTGAGGGTATCTTGTTTGAAGATGTCATTCTTAGAGTCTCTGATGGCTGCTTCTTAAGATACTCGGGGATCAGTAGACTTTGTTTGATACACGTTATACCATATACTTTGGAGGTGAGGTAGGCAGCTATTTGAGGCACCTGGATGACAGCATTATAAATGTCAGAAGATAGCAAAATCCATTGACTCGTAACAGTGTTGGGCAGTGAAATGCACTTAAATGAAATCTTATTACCCAAACTCCGTTAGTTATGAAGTAACAGAAACAAAGTTATTTTTCATTAATTCTATCAATCAACATTGGTGCAGTTTTCAGATTGGATCAAAATAGTATAATTTGAGGAAGAGGAAAGTTAAAGTTATTATCCAAACATGAAATATGTCCAACTTTTCCTCTCTTGTTAGGAAAATGTGTATTTAAAAGCTTAACTGGTAATCCCAAATATTCCCAATATGTGCATAGGGAGTCAATGGTTCTGTAAACCTTAAAGTTTACACTTCTCTTATTTTTTATCTATACTTTTCTCATCCATATTGCCTCAGTGCAGAGACCACTGTTCATTTCTGCATTTTGCATTGACTGTGTTTTGTTTTAAACACAAACTGTAAGTGACGAGAGAATGAGAAATAAAAGAAAACCTTTTCTGTATCTTTATGACATTGTGCAGATGAGAATCTGCAAAGTCCTCTCTTACACGGCGCACAGTATAAATCCACCATCAGCGAAATCACGGGCTTGCGGAAAACCAATACCCCAGCTGGGAGCTTGGCAATTTAAAACTTTGAAAAACCTTTTGCTTTTCTTATTTTTCAATCACATCCTAAAATGTTTGAATTATTTTTTCCAAAGAGGTACTATTTCTTCCTTGCATAGAATAATTGGATTTCCCTACTGAAATCTTACATTATTGCTTTGAGGGTCAAACGACGTATTTTAACCTCCTGCATGATTCAAACTTGGCTGAAGAGATTTATTTCAAATTTTGCAAGATAATTGACATTCAGAACTATGAAAGTACATGAGGATACTCTTTTGCAAACTCTTCGACAAGTGAAAGCAGAATCAGTAAATGAGAACTGAGTGTGAGTTTAGACTCAAAGTCAAGAAATTCTTCAATTATAAGGCAAATTGTTTACTCCATAGAAGACTAGGTTTTAATATGACTTCACATCAAGTATTCAGACTCTGTGTGGATGAAGCTTCCATGTTATACTTTGGCTAATTTACCCTATGATCTACATTTTTCTGCTTAAAGCATGCAAAGGATTTTAATGGTGCATAATAGAATTTAAATGTATTATCTATATATTTCATCTTTGTAATTAATTATGGAAGTGTTAATAGATTTCCTATATGCATATAGGTTGGTTAAGTACATTTTTCATAGCAAGGAGCCTTTCAAAAATGCTTCAGTTACCTATATATGTGTATGTGTATATATAATTTTTGTGTATTAATAACTCCCACTGGTAGAGAATATCTTTTGTAATTCAGCCTTCTTAGGCATAATTGCCATAATTCACAACTGTGGGGGAAAAGTCATTGTGAGGTCTGTCCCCCTGAAAATTTTGTGAACAGAACCCATCACTCGAGCCTGGGTGCAGCTCAGGACCACTAGCCCACTGTGTCAAACTCACTGGCCAGCATCTGCAGGCCCCCATGGCCTTCAACTGCTGGCTGCCATCAGAGGCCTTAGCCTGACCCAGGACCCCCATTTCTGGGAGCCCCAGGTGAGTCCAAGGTACAGAGTTCACTCTTGGGAGAAACAAAGTAGAGAACAGAGTTTGAAGATAAAAGAGGTTAAAGGTGCTATTACGAAGTCCCAATGTTCAGCAGATAGAATGAGCATTCTAGGAAGGTCCATTCTGGAAAAGTCACATTTGGGGCTGAGTTAGCACAAAGTCCACAGATGGGGGCCTCTAGGATCATGTTTCCAGGGCTGCGTAACAACTTTGCACCAAACCCTCATCCTTGCTCTCACTGTTTCGTTCAAGTTCCGTGCAGCTGCCTGCACGGCATACGTGACTTGGCTTGGTGTGCTTTGTTTCACTCCTAGAGCCTAGCGCCTGCCAGGGTAGAGAAGAGCAGTTCCAAGGGTGGCCGTCACTGTGTGTCATCGAGATCCATAGGCACAGGAGAGAGGGCTAGATGCTTGTTCTGTCAGTATCTTTTGCCTTCAGCAAATCTGTTATGAAAATTCATTAGCAAATTCATTAATCAAGGTCACTTTTGCAGCTTTATGGTCAATTGATATTCTTTGTTTTATTCGACTTAGGATGCCCTAATTTATTAGATCCAGTCCTCCTGATCTTTAAGAAACAAATGGAGACATTTAGACAAGTCTCATGTTACCAAAAAGTATAGAACTAGAGTAGTAAGTTGGAAATACCAAAAGACAGACCTCCATTC